CCATCTCCTTCCTGTTTAAGACATTCGACCAGATTTTGTGATTCCTCAATTAAGTTAGTAAAGTAATGTTTAAGAACATTGAAGTGAAATGCAGGTGTTAACATCTTCCGTCGTAAGTGCCATTTTTGGCCTGTTAAATTAGAGATTAGATTTAAGGTATTAAAAAATATATTAAAAAATATATTGATAAAATAAGAGAAATGTGGGAGTGAATGTATACGTTAATATAAAATATGGAGAAAGTTTAAACGTAAGTAGATTTTATTTTATTATTTTGGATCCTTAATTTTAAATTTATTATTTATAAGATTTTTTAAAATACTTTAAATTGTTTACCGTCACTAGTTAGTAGTCCAGTAGACAGCCAGTGCTGAAGATGTTTGTAAAAAATTCCTTTTTTAATACATGTATTGCTCGTCAATAGTACCTACGATAGAAATTGAAATTTTTTTACTTATGTAAAGTGAATTTCGCGATTTATCTTTAAACTTTTAAAGCATCAAATATTTTTCTGATAATTTTACTAAAGCTTCTTTATAATTATTATTATCTGCCAATTTCGTATTACATAAAATGAATTACACCGATAAAAAGCATCATTTAAATATGCAGTTGAAAAAAATACATAGATAGTCCTTCTATGATTTTTTTCAATTTAAATTTTTAGTGCTGGTTGAAAGATTATTTAAATATACATTTCTTGTAACAGAAAAAATAGTACACGTTTAGCTTTTTCTATATTTCAAAAGGTTAAAATAAAATAAAAAAAGAGAAGTTTATTTCGTATTTACTTTATAATAAGTTACCTGAATATCATCTGGATCAAGTAAGATTACCGCATAATACATTAAAAACCATACTTTTTGAATTGGATAATAGTCATCATTTAGTTTCCAGAATTTCTTAAGTAGAATTTCTATATTATTCAAATAAATTAGTTTGTAGTGAGAATTTCATTGATAAAGAGTTGAACACACACATCTTATAAAATAATTTCCCGAAATAATATTTTAAGGGAACTTACCATTGTCAACGTAGTAATGATGAACATTTCCTATTATCGGATAGCCTTTTGGTCCTGGAATTAAACTTAAAAGTCTTCCAACTCTTCCATATTTTAAATAACAGTGGAATAAAAAAATAATTGAAATTGAACCTAACAAGATTGTTAGCATCATTTTGTCTGTAAAATAGAAAAAATTAAAAATAACTAATGAATATTGCAAAAACAATTTTACCTAATAATCATTATTTTTAGGCTTTAAATGTCTCTAAAAACTTACGTTCTTGCGAACAATTTCTCATATAAAAGCAACAACTAAACTACAATTTCAAAACATTTTATTTCAAATTGATCGATGTACGAATACTTTTTACACACACTGTGTGTAAGGTTATTTCGAAAGGTTATACATTTCAAAGTATATATGGATAATCAATTTGGTGTAAGTCATACATTTATTATATGGAGAGTACCTACTTTTTTCTTTTTAAGATTTTTTTCTTGATAAGAAATTTTGTTTGCGTTTTTATTTATTTTTGAAAGAATATTTAATCTGTAAAGAAATTAATAATGTATTTACTGTAATAGGTGTACCGGAAAGTCATTACCGGTTTGTTCGGAAAAAAACTACGTAATTTTCAAGAAAATAGAACAAATTGGTCTAACTATAATTTTAAAAACGAATGAGAGAGAAATTACGAAAAATGTACGTATAAACGAATGTATGACTAAATAATATAACGAATTCTAGGTATAATCGAAAATAATGAGCATAATAAATTGATATAAAACTCTGTACGGAAATATTAATAGATTAAGGAATATCAAAAACGTAATTATGTTAAGGAATTAATATGAAAATTGTATTAAGATATCGAGTATCTAATGAGCTACTGAGAATTGATACAAAATTTGTATAATAATCTAAGATATCGGAATGTAACATTTGCATGAATTAATAGCATATACATGTACAAGAATGTTGTAGAACGATAATGCATAAAAAGCTTGGGCTAGCTTGAGTTAAGGAGTGGAAATACCAAAAAGTACCTCTTCCACGGAAAATCCTTCTGATCCACAAAAACCCGGAGGAGGGCATCGCCCTCGCGTCTTGTCTTTTCCTGTTTTTCACCCTTATCTTTGGTTGTCTTTTATAATTAACACTTGTCTTATGTTAAAATCTTTACTATTCGACTTTGATCTAGTTCGCGCTATTAAGGTGTTAGTGTAATAGTTTAATCTATTACGGATTTTGGAGTTTCCATGAATTAACCAGCTTTATAGGAAATAATAGTAGCCCAAGCCTTGTAGAGCATTGCGAGATCGATTACCGCTTGTACCACAATTTTGTAAGTTATAAACTTTATTTTTATTAAATACCTTTTGGAATCAGAGATGCGAATATAAATAATTCTCCTAATTAACTAAAACTTCCTCAATCCACCTCCTACTAAACGCACTTTGCCAAAATTCTACTGCTATTTAATCTTGTGAAAATGAATTACCCTGGTTTCGACTAAACTTGGTAAATGCAGAGTGGCCACAAAAGGCCACTATACTACTTCATCATATTCGTCCGTCAAGACGTAATAAAAGTAATTACATATGATTAAATAAATATAAAAAATAATATATAATTTATGATAATATATGTAATGTATATAATTACATATGTGTCAAGTAGTAATATATTCCATACACACACATACATAAAGTGCATGTCGATAATAAATTAAATATGTGTCATACATTAAGTATATGGAGAGTATTAGTATTTTTTTGTTGATAAGATTTTTTGTTTTTTATTTAATTTGCATAGAAAAATATATATAATTAGCAAGAAACCAAGAACAAAACTTTTTTTTTAATTTAACTTATTAAAGAAAACGCACTTGTAATTATCAAATGTTACGTCCAACCAAGGCTAAATAACATTTGTATAATTTTTATTAGTCATATCATTTCAAGTAATAGATTCTTCATTATTCATATAGAATAATTATTTCAAAAAGAACTTTAAATTACAGTAAATAAAATGTTGTAAAGCCATAAACGCTAAGTGGGCACCACTCCTAAATCCTGAAAAATGCATTTCTAAATGTTATTGATTCATTTAGTTTCAATGAAATTTTTGATGATAAGAAAAGTATCGATAAGTATAACGTTATTAAAATGCGACTATTTCACATATTTGAAAAAAATTAAATTTTGTCGTTCCACTTCCTTCATTCTAAATATTATATGCTCATTTAATCATAGCATATAATAATAAAAGTTTAATTAAAATTATATATGACAGATGATAGCTGATGATGATGCTCGAACATTGGAATTCATGTATTAATTTTAATTTACAAATCAAAGAACTCCCAATTATTTCAACATACTTAAGGACAAATTTGAAGATGGATGGTACAATGCTGTAAATATTAATTTGTCAATCCATTAATATGATGTAAATAAGTAAAGTTGTTTCCTTCGTGTTGAAATTAAGTGGTGAGGCGTTGTTTAAACGAGTAATGGTTTAACTATTATGAATATAAGGTTTATGAGAAGATCAACTTGTATTTACATTGCAAAACCTTTTTTCGATAAGCTTACAGGCGAGACAAGAAACTGCGACCTTGTACCCTTGTACCACTGCAAACCATACTTTCTCATCTCGGCATCACACCCATTTTGTATCACGCAAAAACCGAGCTGGTGTCTCGGACGATATGCGGCTGAGTGGCCGGTGAGAAGGGCATAGGAATCTCGAACCGCTACCGGTCTCAGTATAGTGTTAATAAGATAATATCAGATTAATAATCAACGTCCTCGAAAAAACTCAAAATATAATTTTAAATCTAATTAAATTACAAGTATTACTTTTTGTTTATTTTTTCGGGATTTAGGACTGATGCACAGGCTTTGGCTATAGAATATTTTATTTTTCTAATAATTAAAATAATTTTAATTTTTCTAATATTTAAAGTAATTATTTTATATCAATAGTAAAGATCGTATTATATGAAATAATATGCTTAATAGAAATTATACAAATTTTATCTAATCTTGGATAGACGTAACATTTGATAATTATAAATGAGTTTTTTCTTAGTAGTCAAGTAAAAAATTAGTAGTCAAGGAAAATAATGGTAAAAATATACGTTCTTACAACAGTTTCGTGAAAATTAAATACTTTTTTATTAAAAACAAATAAATAAAAAAAATGATAAATCTTATTAGCGAGAAAATGAGTATTATTAACATAACATATAATTTGCATTCAATTTGTTATTCAAATGTACTTTGATATGTGTAACCTTTTGACACATATGCTGTAATTATTTGTCTGTCCTTTTTATGTAAATTTATGACGTTTATTTTTAATGATTTATCTTTCAAAGACGATAAAATTGTATAAAACTTAATATTGGAATATACACTTATATTGCGTGTGTATCTTCAGTTATTGCATAGAGAGTGTAGACTAGACGCACACGTATATAACTCTCCACCTGAGTTTGAATGTGCCAGTCGGACGATCAGATAGATTCATATATTTGATATTCTTCAGACAGATGAAAATAATCAATAAATGGTAATGTAAAAATTTTATTATCTGAAATAATGACTCATAAACAAGTTATAAATTTGATGGTTAGTCTTTAAATTCTAGCATAACATTTTAATTGTTTATCCATTTTTTTTTACTTTCGTTACTCTACGTTTAAAATTTTTTTTTAATTATATTTTTTTATATTTATATTCAAATAATGATTCGTAGTAATGTAACGAAAATTACAAGTTATTTTCCAAATTATAAAATTATAAAGAATCGAAATACAAAAGTTCCTCAGATAAATTAACATTCTTACTTATTGTAATCAACTCACTATTTAAACTCTGTTGTTTTGAAATTAGAGTAAAAACTATAGACTTTTAGCTCTCGTAATTATTCTGTAATACAGATATTTATTTAATTGACAATGAGCTGTGACAGGACAATCTAACAACTGTTAGATGGCACTTATCAACTTCCTTGTATTAAACAATAAAATTAGTCGATACATTTGAAAGACTTATAAATGTATTATCTTGGTTTTTTGAGGGAAATCATTTTGCATTTTCAACAAACGAAAACAGCAATTTCAATAGCCTTTTGTAACCTTTTGTGAGCTCAGTTTATCTCGGAGAGATGATTATATCTGTCACTTATATTAAAAACTTCACCGATAGCTATATTCTTTTTCGGGTTATCAATTGTAGATAGCTTTAATTTTTGAAATATACTTACATTCTTTCGTAGACTGTTTAAGCGTCAGAGATAGTAGATTTTATTGTACTATTTTTCTAAACTAAGGTTAAAACATTAGGGCTAAACATTGTTGATTACTAACTTTATTTCATTCTGTTTTAATTTGTCCAGTTAGTTGTCACGTATGAAAATAAAGATTTTATTGAATAGAATTGGACAATAGAATTTTTGTGTGTGAATCTATATTTATTAATAATAAATTAGTTTTTATAGTAAATTAAAATCAGTGTTCAGCGTCTATTCTAATAAGAAAGGTATCTAAATTTATTATTCTTTCTCACTTCTAGCTTACTCCTTCATTTATATTTTGCAAATCAGTACTACAGGTTATATAATTTTAGGCGTCCTAGGTTTTTATAAGTTTTTAACCTCTAGCCATGACTGCATAAGCGGGCAATAGAATGTTTTTATTTAAAAAGTTAACTACAATGTCTAACTATATTTTGAATAATCCAAAAAGTCAAATTAGCTCGAATTTGAACATGTAACGAAGTCAACAGCTACTTTATCAAACTTGTCTCAACATAAAAACTCTCACGGAATTGAGAGGATAGACTTAACAAGCGAATACTTTATTTTGAAAGAAAATTACACAATGAAATAATGATTGAAAAATAGTTTAAATAAAAAAGGACAGAAAATTATTTTCTTGCACTGTAAAAGTTGAAAAAAGCTGATTTTTTCGATGGTTTGACTGATTACTTTTAAATTTGTACATTTTTACTTGTTCGCGATAGATTAAATCTATAATTAAGAATTTAAAAACAACAAATTGTCGTTTTTAATCTGAGGCTGAAATATTTGGACTTTTTTAAGACTTCCGCGAATTGTGCGCTGATTCGTAGTCGTTTGTATTAAACATCGTTCGTAGGTATGCATATGCATACAATTAATAGAATAGAAACGAATAATAAAACTATTTAACTCGCATATTAATTGATTATTCGCAAGAATGTAAATTTTTCGAGAAATTCAAAGTCTACAAATAATGATTAATAGGTAAAATAGTTTTTGCTATATTCATTGGTTATTTTTAATTTTTTCTATTTTACAGATAAAATGATGCTCGCAATCTTGTTAGGTTTAATTTCAATTATATTTTTGTTCCACTGTTATTTCAAATATCGAAGAGTTGGAAGACTTCTCAGTTTAATTCCAGGACCAAAAGGCTATCCAATATTTGGAAATATTCATCATTATCAGATTCATCATGGTAGGTTCTGCTAAAATATTTTTTTCTGGAAATTATCTTATAATCTGTAATTTGTCTTCATCAATGAAGTTTTCACTAATAACTTATTTATTTAAATAACTTAGATCTTGTACTTGAGAAATTTTGGGAACTTAATAATCAATATTCTCCAGTTCAAAAAATATGGTCCTGTGTGTATTATGCAGTAAATTTAGCAGATCCAGAAGATATTCAGGTGATTTATTATAAAAAATATGAAGTACATTTTATTTTCATCTTTTCATGTATATACATGTTGAAAGTTTTTCATTTCTTTCCTTACAAGAAATGCATATTTGAATAGTCTTTGAACAAGCATTACAAATTTTAATTATTTTATACAATTCATCTACTTAATAATGTTTTCAACTGCATATTTAAATGATGCTATTTATCGGTGTAATTCATTTTATGTAATACGAAATTGGCAGATAATAATTATAAAGAAGCTTTAGTAAATTTATATGACAAAAATTTGATGCTTTAAAAGTTTAAAGATCAATCGAAATATTTAATTTATATATGTAAAAAAATACCAATTTCTATCGTAGGTACTATTGACGAGCAATAAATATATTGAAAAAGGACTGTTTTACAAACATCTTCGGCACTGGCTTTCTACTGGACTACTACTTAGCGGCGGTAAACAATTGAAAATATTAACAAATATCTTATAAATAATATATATTTAAAATTGAATGATATAAATGCGTTAGTATTCGTTCGTGCCTCATAAAACTCACACTCGTTTTTTCTTCTCCCTTCTACATTCATATCTGTTTCTTTTACAATTAGAATTCTCGATTTTTCTAACTGTGACATATTTCCAGAAAGTTTTTCTACCTTATCCTAGAATTAGGCTGACTTGACAACAAATGAGCAATTATCATTTAGTTTATTTATTTTATATCAGGAAAGTAATAGTTTTTGTCAGCTATCCCCATCCCAAGATCATATTGGAGCCCTTTGATAAATATATTAACAATATTATAATAAATAGAACCTAAATTATCTAACTCTTGCTACTGTGCATTCGTCTGATTCTCTCGAAACTTAGTTTTTTCAAGGTTTCACTTCTAACACGTGTGATCTGCACACATGATTTTTTTATTTATTAATTATTATTGGTTTTTCTTACAAATTCAAGAAATTAGCTAATGAAATATATATATGTATTGTCATTGTCTATGTATTTATTTAAAGATATAATTTGATAAAGTAAATAAAATAGGATAAATCGAAAAATGTTTACAATTTATCGAATTACTAAACAATAATCATAGCATTTTACACTACTTTTAATTCCATACTGCTTAATAGAAACTGTTCTCTTTAAACGTCGTATTTCTTAACTAAACTCTTTCTTATTCAAAGTACTCTTTAACAAAATCTTTTGTCGTACTTCTAACCAAAATATCATACCAAGTATATTCTATTAACTATTTAAAAAACAATCTTCAATCTCGTTCTTACCTTTTCGTTACACCTACAACATATACACCATCCCTCTCGTTTTGTCTATCGTCATACCTTTTCAGCGTATTTCACTTTAACCTTTTTGTTTATAATATAACAATTGATCATATGATCACTCTGTTTACGACCACATACTTCATAAGCACATAATAACAGAACAACGTTTCCTACAGCTTTACTTTAACAAAGAAAGCGTTTTTAACTATCCTGTAATTGTCAGAATGAACGCGATCTTTTAATAGCATTTTTTTCTGTTATCTACGTTCGAACTTTCTCCAGATTCTATATTAACGTATACATTCACTCCCAAATTTCTCTTATTTTATCAATATATTTTTTAATATATTTTTTAATACCTTAAATCTAATCTCTAATTTAACAGGCCAAAAATGGCACTTACGACGGAAGATGTTAACACCTGCATTTCACTTCAATGTTCTTAAACATTACTTTACTAACTTAATTGAGGAATCACAAAATCTGGTCGAATGTCTTAAACAGGAAGGAGATGGAAATCCGGTTGTCAAAAATTTAAAAAGTTTTATCAGCAAATACACTCTCAACGCAATATGCAGTTAGTAAAATAAGCGATTTTCTSTATATGTAATAATTAATCTTGCTAAATTTACTTTTTGCCACATTTTTTTTTTGTAGAAACAGCAATGGGTATCCAATTGACAGGAAATAGCAAACTGGAATCCAAATATCTTAATGCCGTTCATGTTTATGGCAGCATTGTTGCATATAGGTAATTCATTAATCTTTTTTTAAAAAATAAAGTCACTAAAACAGAAAATATAATTTATTTTTTATTAGATCTTTTAGACCTTGGTACTTGTTTGATGCTATATTTGCATTTTCATCACTTGCAAAAGTTGAAAAAGAAACATTGAAAACATTGCATAGTTTTTCGAGAAATGTACGTCTTTCTGACTAATTATTTAAAAATCTACGCTATTCAAAAATATCCAGATTAGGAAAGTGTTATATTTATTTCAGATAATTGCAGAAAGAAAACGTTTTCACAAACAAACTAATGGAGAATATTTGAAAATTTTGGAAAATATAGAAAAGGATGACCTTTCTAATGAAAATCCGGAGAAGAGCGGTGAGTGTATTCTAATTTTTTTAACAAAAATAAAATAAAATTAGAAAAACATTGTCAATAGAATTTTAATGTTTCAGATTTGCAAATGAAGAATAGGCTTTCTATGTTAGATCTGCTTATAGCTGCATCTTGGAATGATAAGCTCATAGATGAGGAAGGTATTCGAGAAGAAGTTGATACTTTCATCTTTGAAGTAGGTTCTTCTAAATGTTCTTTCTTAGAAGAATACATTTAAAAAATATTCTGCAAAAAAAAATGTTTCAGGGCCACGATACTACCGCAAGTGCACTGACCTTTGCTTTGAGTCTTTTTGCAAAACACAAAGATGTCCAGGTAAAGTAACCAGCAAAGATTATCAGTTGAAATGATTAGCAAAAGAAAAAGTTTTTTGTTTTCTAGAAATTTTTAAAGGACTTATCGATAAATCGTTTGAATAAATTTAGTGACTTGTTACTAATACTAATTAATAATAATATTAAAACTGAAAATAAGTTTTACCGCTACCAAAATTCGATCAAAGATTATTAAAGCTTTCTAAGTAGTACGAATATAGCGATTTTCATAGACTAGACAATAAGTAATCATGTGATGTGTATTTATTTTAAGGAAAATATAAGAGATGAGGTAAAAACGATAATGCAGGAAGATAATAATATAACAATAGCGTCGCTTAAAAAACTTTCATATTTGGAGAGATGTTTAAAAGAATCGCTTCGTTTGTATCCAAGTGTCCATTTAATATCTCGACAAATGCCTCACGAAATACAGCTAAGTATGAAAATATATGCATATGTGTACACGTGCACTTTAACATTACTCATGTACTATTTATTTTTTATTTTGTATATTATGTAATTATATTAATTTCGCAGAACAATATTTAATTCCATCTGGTACGATATGTATCATAAACATTCACAATGTGCACAGAAATCCAAAATATTGGCCAAATCCAAATGTTTTCGATCCGGATAGATTTTTACCAGAAAATATTAAAGAACGTCATCCCTATTCCTACATACCATTTAGTGCTGGCCCGAGAAACTGTATTGGTATGTGTTTCATATGAAAATGAATACAGAAACTATTACATTTTTGTCTTTTATTCTTATATTTCTCATTTTGCAGGTCAAAAATTTGCAATGCATGAGCTTAAACTCTTTGTAGGTTTTATATTGTACAATTTTGAGTTAGAACCGATGGATGAACTAGATGATGTTACATTTATTTCAGATATCACTTTGAACACGTCTAAACCACTTCGAGTCAAATTTATACCTATAAGATAAGCATTTTTACAAATATTAGGCTTTAAAAACAAAAAAAAAAAGAAGAAAGAAATAAAAATGCAGCTGTAGAAAATTTTTCTACAATCTGTTATTATTGTTCGAGAAACAAATGTGTCTAAAGTCTAAATAAATAGTCAAAAGATTTAAAACTTTAAATCGATAATAATTTGTCCTTATTATCTCGTGTTTAACAATAAACTGTTCGATGCTCTCTCAACGTTCGTTTTCGTTTATTAGTGGAAGAAGAATTTAACGAAGCGAATTTGATGGAAATGGTATCCGAAACTGTAAATCAAATTGATCCTGAGGACACTAGCACTGATGACGATTGAGCAGTTTATAAGTTAACATTAAAAAAATTACAACAAGGCCTATGCTTAGCTAAAAATCTCGAGTCATTTTTCTTGAATTCGGATCCTTCCAAAAAAAGGAGTCGAAAATTCAAAAGGGAGCATCAAAACTGTCTAGCTCTATACCGAGAAATTTACAATTACTTGATAAGAAACAACAAGCAAAGTTTTTTATCTCATTTAGTATCGTGGCCGTTGCATCGCCGCGCTGCATCGCCGCGCTGCATCGCCGCGCTGCATCGCTGCCGTGTTTGTTACTATTGTTGCATATGTGTTCGAAGAGTTAAGAATTGCATCACTCAAGAAGACACAAAGACATTAATGGTACTATCGGAAGTTTGCGAATTAAATGCGGCAAAAGCATTTTATGCTGATATAGAATTGATCGAAGAATTGTATCGGTCCGTTTTAGTCCGTTTGTCGGTTTTTTTTATTGTCTCTTAGGAATTTTCTGTGATTAGAAAATATTTGCCGAATTACTTATTTGTATAACACCATTTTATTTACAATACAAATTATCAATAGAAAGCTCTATTGCCAATTTTCTGTAATATTTTATACCTTATAGTTTATAGTTTTTACAGACTACTTAAAGTAGACATTTAATCAGAAAAATATCTTGAGTTAGTACTAAGGATAGTACTGAGTGAGTTGAGCCCTGATTTCTGCTATTCTCTCGTGTCCTTTAAATGAATAAGAGTGTGATGGTTACCTTTACAAATTTCACAACTTCTCGAAGAACTGCATGCGTGCCTATAATGCCGATCTAAACAAATAAAACAACGCTGTAGGCGAATAATATCTTTATGCCGCTCGATGGCAGATTTTGTAAGGAAATCATTGCATATCACTAGGGAATGTTGGCCAGTACAGAGTGGACACCTTGAATAACTTGAAGACCCTGATTGCTCTTCATCAGGCAAGCCCGTGATCTTCTGAAGATTATACGGTAGTGCATTTGGAGTCGATCTTTTCTCACCCCGCTTATTTAACGGAGTTTGAGCTATATTTTCGAGAAATGCAACCATCTCTGCAAACGTCGGCATAAAGCATGGTAAAGAAGAACTTCCCTGTTTGAACGACTTTTCCTTTAATTTAAGCTCTCTCTCCCACACTATTCGCGTTTCAGTAGGTAAATGTTCATGTAATATGGCGATGAGCATTGAATCCCAATTTTCTAATGGCCAGCCATTATTCTTCAAAGTCTGAAGGATTTTCTGCATTTTTTTAATGACCTCAAGTATCTGATTCATGGACATATTTTCAAGACGGGTTCCAAGATTCCACAATTTCTTAACTTTTTTTCGCAAAATGAACCTCGGATTATAGTAACGAGTTTTCAGCGCTTCCCATATGCTTTTAAAGTCAGCGCCAGTAGTCATCTCATCCTTAAACCACTTCGCTGCTCTATCGCATAAACATGTTTCCAAATATGTTAACTTATATTTATCGTCTGGATACTTATTAACATGGAACATGAATGAATTACAAAATTGATCCCATTCCTCGTATTTTCCCGAAAAAGTAGGTTTTTCGGCATTTGATTTGAGACTGGGGTAAGTAGTGTTAGAAGACATCACTTTAGAAGTTGATGCTTTCGAGTTTTCAAGCTGCGACAATAATTTCAAACATTCATCGCGGGCTTCCTCGTGTGCGCTTTGGATTTGGTCTAACACAATGTTGACGACGTCAGTGTCTAACTTATCTTCTCCTGCAATAAACTCTTGATGAGCCTTTCGAGCTTGGTCTTTGAACGCTTTTAAATCTTTGATTCTCTCCTCGACCATTTCTTTTGTAAGTGACCTCTGATGTAATCGATTCTTAATTCCCCTGATACCTTGAAGATGTGTCTTCTGCAGAGCTGAATATTTTTGTAAGGTGCTAGGAGGCATGATGGCTAAGCCTTAAGAGTAGAACAGAAATCAAAAAACTTTCATTAAATTTATATAAACCCAAAATTTATATAAAAATATATTTATAACAATAAAGCAGTAACGTCCGTAGTATGTACGTGGGGATTAATTAACTCAGAAAGGAATTCCAAGCTAGGAAGGATCTAGTGAAATATGCGAACAACAATTTAGTTTCGGATACAACGGGGATATTGAATACGTGGAAAAAGTATTTTGATCGATTATTAAATGTAGAATCTGAGAACGACCGGGAAACTTCTCATTTCGAGTTCCATACGGCGGAACCTATGGTTTGTGAACCAACGATGTTACAAGTAAAAAGCGCGATTAAAAAACTAAAAAATCATAAATCACCGGAAACGGTGATCGACTCGATTCCTGCGGAGCTAATAAAATGGGGGGGGGGG